CATGGCTAGTGCATACTACTATAGAAATGTAAAAAGTTGAGATTTGATTTTAATGTCTGTTTTTACTGCAACAGAGAGTCGGAAGTCAATGTCTTTTGTTTCTTCCCTTCCCTTTCCTTCACACCTTTTTTTGTTTTCCCTTTTTCTACTGTTGTCCCCTACTATTTGCTTTTGTATTCTCACATTTTATGTTATAAATGAATAAAACTAATAAAAAAATAAAAAAATGTTTTTTATACAATTATCAGGTTTCATTTATGATTGAAAGCTCTTTAAAATTAATTAGCTTGCAAGGACAAATGGATGAACATTGGGGGCTTGCCCTGGCATAACTATTATGGAAAGATGTTTAGAATTAGACAATTAGAATTTAGGCCGCTAAATTTTAATCAGCATATACTGTATATGTTACTCTGTGTGAGTGTGCATGTGTGTCTTTGAAATGCTAATTACAGAATGTACATATGTGTTGGTCCTGAATGTGTTTCTACTCTGTTACATTTGTGTGCATTTATATGTGTATGCAAGGGGGACTGGATAAACTGCATTGGATCATGCAGATGTTACATTACCCAGGTAATAACATCAGTGTGAGAGAGTGTGAGGTTTGCTTGCCCTGCCAGTTTTGGGGGGTGTGTGTTTGTATGTGGTTTTCTCCTTGGTAATATCTTGATTAAGCTGTTATTTACTGCTCAGTTGGTTATCTGGTGTTAATTCTGGGGTTGATCACTGCTTATCTGAATATAGACTACTGGAGAAGATGTATTCTGGCCTTATTGTTTCCTTCTTAATTTTTTAAAATTGTTTCTTTTAAATGGTATGTAAATGTGATTTATGTCTGTGTCTGTTGATGGCTGATTTGTCTGAATGTCAAGCTTCCAGGAATTCCTTAGTGGTTGGTATTTAGCTTGATCTAGGATGCTTTCAGTTTCCCAGTTGAAACTATGGTTGAGTCTGTCCATGTGTTGTAAATTTTCATAATGTCTCCCCTACTGTTACTTGGTGTTCATAGATATAGCCTTCTGCCTGTCTTTCCTACATAGTGACTGTTATAATCCTTATTCTGTATGTTGTAGATTACTTCTGTTTTTTTATTCTTGGATTACTGGGTCTTTTCGTTTACTTAGAACAGGGGTGTCAAACTGCCCGTCCACAGGCTGGATGTGTCATGTGGAAGCCACACCCACCCCAGCAAGGGGAAAAAAGTTGCGATACGTCACGATACATCACGTGACACGGCGAGTTTGACACCCCTAACTTGGGATGTTTTGAAGGGCTTTAATTAGTTGATGTGCTGCAGTAATGCTGTATGGGTGTAATAATTTGTTGGTTATTTCTGATAGGTTTTTGACGTATGGCAGTATTATCCTTTTTATAGCTTGTATTGGTTGTGCTACATTGGGTTGTGTGGTCAGGCACTTTTTGCTAAAGCTGTGTATGTATCCGTTTTGTTGGAAAATATTGTATAGGTGGCTTGTTTCCTTTTTCTAGTGTTCCAAGTTGCTGCAGTACGTTTGTGCTTATCTGAATAACATTCTTACAGAGCTCCTCTTATGAGAGGTTGTTACTTTGATAAGGGAGCACTAGTTTCCATGTTTCTGCTGATGATTTTATCTGATTCTGTAGCTTGATAATAGTTTTGAAACATTTGGCAGTAATGCTACTGTTCACAATGTATGCCCAGATTGTTTAGTATGTTTGTAGATGCTTATACAGATAATCCTTGACTTACAGCCATTTGTTTATTGACTGTTTAAAGTTACAACACTACTGAAAAAAGTGGCATGACTGGTCCTCGCACTCATGACTGTCATAGCATCCCCACAATCATATGATCAAATTCAGGCGCTTGGCAATCTGCATATTTACAATGGTTGCAGCATCCTGGGATCATGTGATCACCATTTATGACCTTCCCAGCTGGCTTCCTATTAAGCATAGTCATTGGGGAAGCCAGATTCACTTAATGACCATGTGGTTTACTTAATAACTTCAGCTGGCAAAAAATCAAGTGCAACTCACTTTGCTTAGCAATGGAAATTCTGTTCCCAATTGTGATCATAAATCAAGGACTACCTGTATGTATTGTAGGATAAGGTAAAGAAATATCTTTTAAAACTTGTATTTACCTGTGAGATTTGATTCTTTTTAGTATACTGCAACAGACAAGAAACAATGACAAAAAAGTTGTGCCAAATAACACTCTTTATATTAACAACTGCTGAGACTTCAAGTTAATTTCCTTTGAATAATACATTTTCCTAATAATTGCAAAGCATGTATTATTTCTGTGTTATAATAAAATTGATTGTTTGCATTAAATTACTGTAATTATGCACTCGCTTGATATAATTTACAACTGATCATGTAGCGTGTTGTTCTCTAGCTGAACCTGCAGACTTTTTCTTTGTTAATGTTTTTAATTTTCTTCTTAGTTCATTTTGGTTAACATAGCATGCAGTTAATAATTCACAATGCAGATTGTTCTCTTATTGTAAGTATAACTGGATCAGAATGATCTTAGAGTGCTGAGAGTATTTTGGCATATTTTGTAATGCTTTGAAAAGAAACACTACAACCAAATTAAAATTAATCAGTAATTAATTGCTGCCCTCTAACTTGTCAACAAGTATAATGTTTTGTTCAGTTGTTCTAAAATTTACATTTAAGTTACAACCACTTGAAAATTAAAGAATTGTACTGCATTTTTTTGTTCTGTTAATAGAAGTTTCTTTGCTTCCGCAGAGGCTTCCCTGAATAGAATTTAGAATAAGGTTGTCTTTTTAGCCCCAAATTTACTCTTGTTTTTGCAGTATCCTATGCTGTTCCTTTTTTTGGAGCATATTTGACAATTGGAAAGGGGGAAGAAAGAATCAGCAAAAAAGAGTCTTTTTTATTTATGGAAACTATCATTCATAGAGTAATATTATATACATGTAGCTCTGTCAGTGTTAAAGTGTGATGTATGCTGTAATTATTAATATCTGTTTTTCAGGCCAGTTTCTGTTAGAAGAATCTCGGTTGATGGAAGCAGCAGAGATGGCCAAGAAAGCAGCTGAGTTGGATAATACAGAGTTTGATGTTGTGTTCAATGCGGCTCATATGCTTAGGTCTTTTTATTTCATTGTCTTCAGTATCACCATCAATATTTTACTGCATAGAATTAACATTAGTATGCATACAGTTTTTCCAGAATGAAAACAGAAGATCACATGGCATTTCTCAGCTTCATGCTTGTATATATTGTGTACATCCTGCTTTTTTAAATTATGGCTAGATCTGATTAATGAAGACAGTTCACACTGGAATCCTGTGCCAATTTTGCCATTATTTCCTTTGCCATTTTTATTGAGGCTATACAGAGTCTAATGCTTACATAGCACAGAAAGTTATTGCTACTACATTCCATTCACTTTATATTTTAAAATCAGCAGAGTTTTTCCTGATAAATGAATATAGCAAATGAAGAAAACAAGTATAGGAGAGATTTGAGGCCAACTCTCAATTTTAGAACCAACGATTGGTATCACAACTTTGGGTGGTATAGTGATTCAGGTGCTAGGTTTTAGTCTTTCCTTATGCACAGAAACCAGTTGGGAGATTTTGTACAGGTTGCTCCTTTAAGTCTAATCAGCATCAGGTTCTGCAACCAGCCCTTCATTGCATAATGCATTGATTGCTTCACTGTGTTGAATTAAGTGAATGCAGTGCAAAACAAGTAGACATTGCAACCAAGCAAAATATATGTTAACCATCAGCGAGAACGGGTGGCCATTTTTTGTGGGTGATCATATCATCTCTGAATTACTTATTCAACTCAGTCTCTTGAGCTTGCTTTTTTAATGTGTGAAAGCTGGAAAGTAACCCAAAATAGATACTTTTTGTATCTGTTCAAGAGCATCAACAAGCATTCCTTCCTCAGGCTCATTTTTTGTGTGTGTGCTTTTCTTTCTAAAGTGAACACAGTGCTTTCTGCATTGACTTGTTTGCACACAGTTGCCACAGACACATAGGCTAATATATTCAGCTATATAGAATTATGGTGTCATCCAATTCAATGGCTCTTTACAAATAAATGATAATGCTCCTAAAGCAAGCATAACCCCTGGAAACATTTCTATCCCTTTGCTTCATTGCTTGTTTAGATATATTAAACTACTGTAGTTTGCTATATCCGAAATTTAAAACTGCAATTTTAACTTTAATAATTAGTATTATAGTGGGGTTTAAATTCCAATTTTAAAAGCTAAGACATGAATTAAAATTGTTTACAAACTAATTTATAATTGTATATATAGATTAAAATGTTTGTTGATACTATTGCTGACTTTGTAATTATATCAATTTCATTATTTAAAAAACTGCATTTAAAGTTAATCATTCACATCATAATCAGTAGCTGAAAATGTATTTTAACTATTAATGCCAATGATTCAATTAATTTTTCACTTTCCAGTACCAGATTGAATTTCACTGAACTTGCTGATTTTTTCTTCTCTCAATAGACAAGCTAGTCTCAATGAAGCAGCTGAAAAATATTACAAAATGGCAGCTGAG